GACTTAAAGGGCTGTGAAATAAGTTCCACCCATTATGAGACATAGAAATGTTGAGCTGGTCAGCATTTTTAATGTACCACACAGGCAGGATTCCAGGCCACAGTGCGCAGTCTCCCTAAGGTGCTTGGCCAGAAGTGGATCCCTGAGGCAGGTAGTTATACTCAGGCCCATTTGCTTCTCTCCTCGCTATATCAGGGGTGTCTGCTTCATTACACTCACTATTTTTCAGACTCCAGATAGGAAGAGATTTGCTATATATGAGGTCTTAGATAGTGACCACTGAGTGAAACGCATAGCTCTCCCGGTCCTCATTTCTGAATTCAACGCCTGGTTGGACAAACACACTTGAACAAAGCCAGGCCTTTTATTAGAGGCTAGCAAGTAATCTGTAATGGGAGGAATTACTCTGCATACATGTCTTTCCCAGGAAAACAATTGTTAGCTTGTCAAGGCAGGGAAAGCTCTTATTAGACTTAGAGGATCCCTCCATTCTTGCTGCTGAAGAATGCAACACACATTTCGCTGCAGACCACAAATTAACAATTCAACTGGAAGGGAGTGCAGCCTACTGGAGGGAGGTGAAGATGGAGCCCTGCATCAAAGTCGTTCCCAGCCAGGGTGTTCGGTGTTTCAAACCCCATTACCTGCACATCTGTGGGGTCCTTTTGATCCTAACTCTTCACTAGGAAGTGATGTGAGTGGGAGGGTTCGCCTGGCCTTCAGAGACAACTGGCGTTTCTCATTCTTTATCTTTTCTCTCTCCACCCCTGGGTCCTGGCTCCTTTTTATCTACCTAATGATTTTCCAATTTTAGCCAGCAGTGCTATGGAACTGCAACCATCACGAGTCTTTGATGGATTTCTTTGAGTCAAAGTCAAACGGAAAGCCTGTACCTATACTACAAAGAAGCAGACTGATCTCCACAGAGCCCAGGGCACTTTGTATGCATCCTTTTAAGCCATGGTTTAAAACAAATGCAAATAAGTGTTGGAGTAGATTTCTCAAGAAAGAGAAATCCCAATCCATGGGTCCACTGGAATGAACATTCTTAAAATCAAATTCCAGGAAGCACCCCTTTATGTCCCATGTTTCCCCAACACTCCTGCTGATTTGAATGAATGTTTGGCTTCCTCACCTTGTATCCTAGCATGTCTGTTGGGCTATTAATTTATAGCAAGCTATGATTTTTAAGTAGGCAGGAGAAAGAAAATGTGTCACTATTTAAATTGTGGGAACCGTGGGGAAGTCCGCCATGCTCTTTCAGGCTGTAGGTCTTGTTTCTCTGCTGAGAATGATTTCCCACTTCTGCTCTGCATGGTCTCAGCAAAGTCTCCTCTCACCAGTCCTTTGGCTGCTAATTAGCATCAAGTTGTTAGGTATTTGGGAAATGGATTGGGAATGCCCCTTAGATGAGGATCACACTACTGGGGATCATTCTGTTTACCTGGGGCCCATCAAGTTTTAGCATTTTCTTGCATAGAGCAAGTTTCTTGTCAATGTCACAAGACTCCTCTGATTTGGGAGAAACTATTTGCAGGTTTTGTCATGTCCCCTCCCTATCTGCCCAACCTGAAGAAAAGAGAGGAGCAGTGAGCTAGTTTTTCTAGCCACCAATATTCTGACTTAGGTTTCTGATGTATGTCTTATTGGAGAGGTAGTCCCTCTCCCCACAGGGACAGTGTGTTTCCTAAGCTTGTTTTCTTCACTCACTCTTTTAGTAAACATGTGTGGTGCTCCCACGAGGTGCTGTCTCTGGAGTGGAAGAAAAAACATGACTGACTGCGCTCCAGGAAGTCGATATCAGAGCAGTATCTGGTGCCAGTCCAAGGCTATCAGTACAGCGGGTCCTTTATGTCCATGGCTCCCAGACCTATGTATTCAACCGACCTCTGATTAAAATATTTTGTAATTGTCTGTCTTGAACACGTACATATTTTTTTTCTTTTTTCATTATTTCCTGAGCAATACAGTATAATAACTATTTGCAAGCTATACACATCATATTAGGTGTTACAAGTAACCATGAGGTGACTTATAGGATCTAGGAGGGTGTATATAGGTGGAAGGTCTTGAGCATCTGCAGGTTTTGGTACCTAAGTGGGTTCTAGAATGTGTCTGTCACAGATAAGGGAGATGTCTGTATGCAGTTATGATATCAGGGAGAAGAGCGTGATATGGATGCTGATTGGGTAGAGAAGATAAAGTTTCAAAAGAATTTTGTGGAAGGTTTCAAATGGCTTGGAAGTGACCATCGGCAGCAAAGGAGAGGAAAAACAGCTTCTAAAACCTGAGCCTTTGAGGAAGAGCTGGGACTAAATGAGTTTACTTCATGATACTGATTTACTGGAGGGGAGTAACATGCTAATTTCTGATCCCTCTTAAGGTTCAATATCTCAAAGAATGGCATCTTAAGGGAAATAGAGGCAGCATGGCAACTCACAAATGTTTTTATGCTCCTTTATCTTCTTATTTTTAACAAGAAAATCCTGTCAAGTCAAGATAAATTTTAGCCTTATTCCTTTGATAAATATTACTCTGCTCTCACAGTGGGTCTAGAACTAACTTTTAAATACTCCTGGTTCACTTCAGTCATGAAAATCATTCATGCTCCTTTGCATCTGCTTAAGAGTTGAGACTGAAAACATTTTTCATGAAAACTATAGCAAATTGTATGTGGGATAATAACAGAATTCCTTTGTATTTAAGGTGTCTGGAATCATAATAGCAACAGGCTGAGTATTGAATGCAATTCCCAGTGGAATCTGTGTTTGGTGATAGTACTAAGCCTTCTAATGTCACTTCCAGATCCCCATATTCATCCCACATTGAATCAACCCTGGGCATCAATGTGGAAGTGATTCAGAGCAGTCTCTTAGACTGCTCTTCACTACATGCTGGTCTGATTAGGAGCTGCACGTAATGCATGTTTCCAATAGAATCTGCTATTTGGCTCAAAGGAAGCTACCTGTTGTCCAGAAGTGGAAACTGAAATAGACCAGTAAGATAATGGAGCTAGGAAACAGCTGTAGAAGTAGCCATTAACCCTTTCCCAGGAAAACCCTTACTGATGATCAGATTGTTCCTGACAAGCTCTTAAACAGGCTCACTTCCAACCAGCAAACAGTCCTTGCCCCTATTTTATGAACCAGGCACAGGGCCAATCATTCAAAGAGAGAGGGAGACCCTACTCCACTGTTCAGGAAGGTAGAGTCCACTCTAAACTCAAGAATGAAGTTGTAAAAGGTAGACAGCCCATTCAAAGTCAGAGTGCTTGCCCATGGCCGATCCAGTATTTGAACCTTGGGTTTTGTTTTATTCAAAGCCTTTTCCTTTTCAACTGCACTGCAGCCTCTTACTACACTGAAGTAAAACTATTTGTCATTTTCCATTTGCACTTTAATTTTTTAAAATATACTTGATAAACACAAAGCGAAGTGCAATTGGTCATATCAGATAAGTTGAGTGGGTTATTATCTTGCTATCCTGTTTCATGTCTTCACTGTTTTCCAAAATGAGATTGCATTGTGTTTATACTTTTAAAACAGAACAGATACACATGAAAATGATTTTGAGGCCATAGAATGTCAGCTACTAAATTCATGGCAATATGAGAAAACCCTTAAGGGTTGTGAATTCATTAAAAAATACAGTCACTCAATGGTTGATGTTATTAAACACACCAAGCAGGTGCTGTCAGCCCAGCAAGATGGCAGTTGCACAGGTCTCAGTATCTCATGTCTAGTGAGCACCACCTCCCCAGTCAGAGGAAACAGAGCAAGTGTAAGCAAAGAACTCTCAGGCACTTCGGTATCTAGAGAGGTGGGTCGCTCTCACTTCTTCATGGTATCCTCTCCTTTTATAGGTTTTATTTCTTTCTGTCTAGAAATGCCCAATGGCGTTGCTCACTTTCTTTTAGGGACCATGGTGGGAATTTGGCTTTAATGACATTAGTATGTAAATTGAGGACCCCTGCTTGCTGATTTTCTCGGTCTCACTTCTAGTTAGCATCTTCATATGGAACTGTGGACTACAAATCGTCTAACAAGTGCCTACTTTTCCTAAGAGGATAAAGTCTAGCAACTTCTCACACACTTACAGATCTTGGGCCAAGACAATGCTTTTCTATGAAGAAGGAGTATCTTTCTTATAGGAAAAGAATGTTTGTACCCATCCAGCAGCTTGGTAGATTGAGGCAAGTAATAGAACCTTCGAGAAAAGAGAGCTTAGCAACGTTGGGGAGTCATACTTCTCCTATACCAAAGTAAGGGAAAGAATATATTCCTGATGTGCTCAAGTTTGCTTCTGGACACTCATAACATCTGGTTCACACTTTTCACTGTGAGCTTTGTAGCCTGAGATGTTTTACGGGATGTTGTGTTCTAAAGGTGCACTCACTTACATCATCATTGCAATTAATCATCATACTTGCACTGTAGAAAGCATCTTATTTCCTGCTTTAGAAGGTAGCCAAAGCTTAAAAAGGGAAGATGTTGAGTCTGGAACTCATTCCCAGGTCTTCTGGGAAATGTTCACTACTGCTCAAAATTAGAAAAATGACTTTAGGTCACAGGCCACAATTTCGTGGGATAGGAATGATCTACAGATAACAAAGACACCTATTGCAGAGGAGCAAGTGGCTATTTGAGAAGCTAGTACCTATGTATTATATATAGCTCTCCTCACCCTATCTCATTTAAACATCATCTCTTTCTCTTAGTTTCTCTGGGGTTTCAGCCAGATGAATTACTTCCCCAAAGTCACATAGTTCAAAGGGGTGAAACTACTCTGACAACCCCAGATTTTCTGAGCCACCACTCCACAAGTCTCCTCATTGCACTCTAAGTCCCAGTGCGTTTAGGTATGCTGGAGATGTTTAAGGGCGAGAGCAAGGGAAGGTTTGTGCTTCAGTTGGTGTCCTTAAGGACCCAGTCTTTCTATTTCCCTTCCCTAACCCCTCCATCCCAGTGCCACCTGCTGACATGTTCTTCTGCTCCCTGCAGGGTGCGTGGTGGTGGTATCTGTGATTGAACAGCTGGCTGAAGTTCACAACTCTTCGATCCAGGTGGCGATGGAAAGACTGTGCAGCTACCTGCCTGGTAAATCTGCAAGGGCCCTGATGTTCTGTGTCTGCTTGTCTTCTCCTCTGTGAGTCACCAAGAGGGAGCTTGCACCCAGAGGAGGCTGACAGGGCAGAATTTGCCTGTGCTTTCCTTTGATTCCTATTCTCGTGGTGTTTATAGAGACTGAAGTAAAATGTCCACTCTAGGTATTGTCTGTTTGACATTCTCTATCATGGCAGACATCACTGAGGCCATATAGGGACAAAGTGTTGAATGGACAATTACCATTAGTGTGACACAATAATGATGATTTTTCCACCTGATGCTAATCACCTCAGATACTAAGAAGTCAATAAATAATTCTGTTTACTTATACACACATTCACAGACACACACAGTTCTACTAATACAGATGTTAGGCTGGGAGGATTCCTGATCTCAAAATCCCAAATAGGAAGGTATCAAAGACACCCCTTTCATTTCACTTGGATCTCATTTAACTTCTCACCCATCCTGCAGACAAAGGAACTGATGGGTGCTTTTAGACAGCCGTGGATTTGTTTTTCAGACTCAGCAGTAAGAAAATATTTATTCTATTTGCTGTGTACATAATAGTCAAATTTTCTTTCTCTGTGTAGAAACTAATCCACCAAGAAGGCTTACATTGTTTTTTCTGTTAAGTATGGTATCCAACCTAACAGTGATTATATCTTCTATTTATATGCTACCCCACGTCAGTAGCAAAAAATCATTTTCTGAGAATTGCATTGTTCATTATATGAATTTACAGGATTAAATATTTAGAACTCCAAAAGAAAGATTTGGAGGGAATAGTATGCACACACCTGCATATAATGTCCCAGATGGATCATTGTTAAGATCTTGATGTATTTACATCAGGTCTTTTGTGAAATTAAATCACAGCAGATAAACTGGAAACACCTTCTGGCTTTGTCTGCCCCGGTTCTATTTTCCACCAACTCCCTAGAAAGAGAAATGAACTTAATGAATATTGCTTTTGCAGGATCTCATATTTACATATTCACTCATATGGGTCTATAAGTAAATTGTAGTTATTTTGTTAGCAATTTTAAAAACCATTTCTGGGTAAAACAAAACAGGTGTAGAAACCACATAAATTGAATGTATAGTTTTCCATTTTTGAAAGATAAGCTCCTCAGGTCTGGAGAGATGGCTCAGCAGTTAAGAGCACTGACTGCTCTTCCAGACGACCTGGGTTCAATTCCCAGCTCCCACATGGCAACTTCACAATTGTCTGTAACCCCAGTTCCAGGGACCCGACACCCACACAGACATATGTGCATGCCAAACACCAATGCACATAAAATAAAATAAATATTATTTAAAAAAAAGAAAGACACGTTCCTCTGTAAAGACTTCAGTTCAGAAAGAACAGACAATTAGCCTCTTCAGAGGTTCTATCCATGTGCTCCATATAATCTTTTACCCATTTTTATCCACTTGCAAAAGAAAACATCTAAACTTTGTAACACTTCCCCCAACCTTGGATTTCCTAACTTCATGTACACCTATGGTGTAATTGAATGTGTTTCTTCTGAGCTCTGTAATTTCTCATAATGGAATCTAGATCCAGAGCTTGGACACTCCAATTTGATTCCTTTGGCAAAATGATCATGGTATATTCTCTCTCTCTCTGTCTCTGTCTCTGTCTCTCTGTCTCTCTCTCTCTCTCTCTCTCTCTCTGTCTCTCTCTCTCTCTCCCTCCCTCCCTCCCCTCTTTCCCTCCCTCCTTCCCTCCCTCCCTGTCCTCTGTCCTCTTTGTAATTTTGGCAGCTGTTGATGCTTCATGGTGAGATGTCTCAACTTTTTGGGAGGTATACTGCTGTGGGATGTTCTTTCTCTATGCTGTGAATGTATTGCTATGATTGATTGATAATAAAATGCTGATTGGCCAGTAGCCAGGCAGGAAGTGTAGGCAGGACAAAGAGAGAGGAGAATTCTGGGAACAGGAGGGCTGAGGCAGAGAGATGCTGCCAGTTGCCACGATGAGTAGCAAGATGTAAGTTACCGGTAAGCCACGAGCCACGTGGCAAGGTATAGATCTATAGAAACAGGTTAATTTAAGATATAAGAACAGATAGCAAGAAGCCTGCCACAGCCATACTGTTTATAAGTAACATAAGTCTCTGTGTGTTTACTTGGGGGACGCTAGTGGGAAAGATTTGTCCTGACCGTGGGCCAGGCAGGACCAGGAAAACTTCAGGTACAATATACCATTGGAATATTCTAACTTTTCATTCACTAATTGAAGTATATTTGACCTATTCCCTCATTATCTTATTTTAATATTTTCCTATAGTACCTAGTTCAATTTGAAAAACCAAAACACATGCTTTATTCTTTACTTAGCAGTTTTCAAGAGAGTTCATTCGTTTTCGGTTATCATCCCAAAGTAATCATTTTCTTTAAAATGCTACAAAGTCATGATTTAAACATACCTGAGAGATTTCAGTCAATTGCAACCATTATCCTATTGAAGCTCAAATAACCCCTTCTTTGACCAGAAGGTCAGAACCTCCTTTTCAATTTGATGATGAGCTCAGGTAACCCCGGACAGCTTTCTCAATAACCAGAAGAGCCAGGTATTCCAATCATGTCTTGTACACTCCTGGAGCTTGAAATCAGTCATTTTTCTTAGAAATCTAGGAAGTTTTTTTTGTGTGTGTGTGTGACAATTCATACATTAAGACTAAAGCCTAGGTGCTTGGGTATCCTAATTATACTAATGGTCAGTCTTTCTCAGCCTCTTCCGTGGACAGGGATAAAAAAACACAAGCATAAACACTTACACATAAAATGTTTAACATAAATCTAATGAGTTCATGGTTCTACTTCCAACTCAAATCCCAAACTACGGGTATTTTTCTTGCTTGCTTTTGTTTCTTGGTTGGTGTCTCTTTCTTTCTTGTAAAGTCCTAATTGTCAAAGCGATGGATAGAACTAAATAGCCCAGAAGTTTCCATTTGCCTGCTCCTTACCACACACTAACAGTCCATAGTATCTGTTCCAGTATATTTCCTAGTTCTTACTTCATGTAGTTCACATTTATTGAGAGCAGTTAAGATTGGTTTTGCATGTAGTTTTCCCATTTCTCCATCTTTTGAAAGCATTGACCTGTATGATCTGAGCATATCACCATTGTTTCAAATACCCATCCAGTCACCAACTGGTGAGTCATGGCCACCCCATCTCTCCTGTGGATGTCCCTATAGTAGAAATGATGTCTAAAGCTTATTCCTCAGGAGGTAGTCTTGGGGAAAAGAGCCCCTGAATTCTTGAATGTTGATAACAGGCTCTCTGCAACCTTTAGACTTGAAAGCCACAATTTTTGTGGATATGAATCATTGACTGTAGGTCTCCAGGGATAGCTCAGTAGGTAGGAGCACTTGCTATAAGTCTCAGTTCAAATCCCTAGCAAACACATAAATGTTGCATTCGCCTGTGACTCCAGGACTGTGAGAATGGAGATGTAGAGACAGGAGGATCACAAGAGCTTGCTGGCTACCAGCCTGGCATCCAGATTGGTGGAAAACCCTGCCTCAAAGGAATAAAGTGGAGAGTGACAGAGCAGGACACCAAATGTCCTCCTCTGGCTTCCAGGCATGCTCATAGATGTGTGTACCAGTGTGAGCGCACGCATGTGTGTGTGCACATACATGTACAAACAACACATACACACACATATACATACATACACCCCAAAAAACCCTTGGTATGTAATTTATTTTCACAAAACTCTTACTAAAAAGTCTAATGTGGGGCTGGAAAGATGGCTCAGCAGTTAAGACCACTTGCTACTCTTGCAGAGGACCCAGGTTTGGTTCTCAGAACCTGTATCAGGCAGCTCATAACAGTCTGTAAACTCCAATTCCAAGGTCCCCAAGGCCCTCTTCTGACCTCCTTAGGAACCAGGCATTCATATGGTGCACATACATACATAAAGACAAAACACTCATACACATAAAATAAAAATAAATAAATATTTTTTAAAATGAAAAATAAACGAGAAGGTAAATGTTGATCTAGTTTTCTTTTTCCTTGCAAGTCACTTGTTAGGTTTGACAAGCATTTCAAAAGACACTTTTCTTTTTGTTTTCTGTGAAAGTTAGTGCTCTGAGCATAACATGTTTCAGTGTTCATTACTGAATGTCCATGTTCTCAGGCATGCAGTGCTTTCAAGCATATGCATTTCCTAACTGAAGGATAGGCCTTTGATTTCTTCAGCTCCCTTGGTTTGGCTTTCTTCAGGGGTTTCCTCTTGTCCTTATATCGAATCTTCATTGTCTGTCTGATACCTTACCTCCCTTTTGAATCCTTTCTATCTTTCTTTGTGTGGATGTGCTGAGTGCTAGGGTGGAACCCAGGACCCCATCCATGTACACTAACCAGTGCTCTCACTGGACTGTAACCCACACTGTCTTCGTGTCTTTTCATTCAATGTCTTCCTCCCTTCTTCTCTGATTTCTCTGAAGGCCCTGTCTGTTGTTTCCACTTGTTCGGTGTTTATTCAACTTTAAACTTCATTTCCTTCATATTTTCTATTCTTTCCTGATTTCTTTTATCCCATATCTGAGTTTTTCTAACTTGGATTTCTTCTTTTCTTTCGTGTCTTTATCATTTTATTAACAACTCTCATTTTGAAACTCTTTTAATCTTTTCTTTTGGCATGGTTTCTACCATGGTTTGACTATCTGTAGGAATGTTATTCTTTTCCCCCTTATTATAGCTTTGTATGGGAGTTGACCTAGATACATTTCTATTGCTTATTTTTGTGTGTGGGAAATTAATCTTCCAAAACTCTTAAAAAGAGGTGGCACAAGATAGTGTTTGTGAACACAGCTCTTTGCTGCTTTTGTGCAGTGTTTGAAGTACAGGTTGCTTGTTGCTCAGCGTTTCTGCATCTTTCCCCTGCCCACTTTCACCTGAGCTTCCTTCAACTCACATATATGTTTAAGCAGTTTGGCAGCTTCCCCAAGCATGAGCCTTGCTCACAA